ATGGAAGAGAGCAGGAGGCAGACGGACCAGGGGAGAGAAGAAAGAGACAGGAGGAAAGAGGATGCGGGACAGGATAGAGGGGGATAGGGGAGAGAAGACAGAAGACGATAGGGAGATGATTGAGGGAAGAGATTTGGATAGTGTGAGAAGAAGATGAGGTAGAGAGAGATAGAGACAGGGGAGAAGGGAAGAGGATGCGGATGGGAGAGGGCCAAAAAGATGATCGAAAGATTGAGAAGGGGAAGGGAGAGAGGGTGAGGGAGAGAGAAGCAGGGAGAGGAGAGGAGAGGAGGAGACAGAGAGATGGGGAAGAAGGAGGAGAAGGAGAGAGAGTAGAGGGGAGAAGAGAGGGAGGGGAGAGTGAGGGAGGAGAGGAGAAGAAGACGGAGATGGAAGAGGATGAGAGAGGAGAGGAGGGAGGGCGAAGGAGAGAGAATGGGCATGAGAGAGAGGAGATGGAGGAGAAGATGGAGGAAGGAGAGGAGGGAAGGACGGAAGGAAGAGATGGAGAAGGGGAAGAGATGAGAGGAGGAGAGAGAAGATGATGAGAGAGGAAGGAAGAGAGGAGGAGATGAACAGAAAGGAGAGGAGAAGAGAGAGGAGGAGAGGAGGATGAGAGAGGAGGAGGGATGAGAAGGGGAGGAGAGAGGATTGAGCGGAGAGGGAGGAGAGAGAGGGAGAGAAGGAGATGAGACAAGAGGAGAGGTGGAACTGGAGAGAGGAAGAATGAGAGAAGGAGAGGAACGAGAGAAGGATGAGAAGAGGAGTGAGAAGGAAAGAGATGGAGAGAGAGGGAGGGCAGGAATGAGAGGAGAGATGAGAGAGGAGGAGAGAAGAAGAGATTGAGAAGGAGGAGAGAAGAGGAGAGATGAGAAGAGGGAAGAGAGGAAGAGATGACGAGAGGAGGAAGAAGGGAGAGAAGGATGAGAAGAGGAGGAGAGAGGAGAGATTGTGAAACGGAGAGGAGGAGAAGAGAGAGATGAGAGGAGGAGGAAGAGAGAAGATGGAGGAAGGAGGAGGGAGAGAGAGGAGATGAGAGAGGAGGGAGAGAGGGAAGAAGATGAGAAGGAGGAGGAGAGAGAAGAGATTGAGAGAGGAGGAAGAGGAGAGAGATGAGAGGAGGAGGGAGAGAAGAGAGATGGCGGGGGCGAGAGAGGAAGGAGAGAGGAAGGAGATGAGAAAGAGGAGGGGAGAGGAGAGATGAGAGAGAGGAGAGAGAGGGAGAATGGAAGAGAGAGGAGAAGAGACGGGAAAGGATTGAGGAGAGGAAGGAAGGGAGAATAGCAGAGATGACAGGGGAGGAGGAAGAAGAGGGATGGAGAGAGGGGAGGGAGGAGAGAAGAAGCATTGAGAAGAGGAGGAGAGAGGAGAGATGAGGAAGAGGAGCGAAGAGGGAGAGGCAGATTGGAGAGAGGAGGAAGAGAGAAGAAGATGAAGAAGAGGAGGGGAGGAGAGAGAGATGAGAAGAGGGGAGGAAGAGAGGAAAGAGGGAGAGAGGAAGGGGAAGAAGGAGAAGGATGAGAGCGAGGAGAGAGAGAAGAGATGAGGAGAGGAGGAGAGAAGAGAGATGAGAGAGGAGGGAGAGAGAAGGGATGGAAGAAGAGAGTGAGGAAGAGAGAGAAAACTGAGGGAAAGAGGAGGAGAAGGAGGGAGGAGATGAGAGAGGGAGGAAGAGTGGAAGAGAATGAGAAGAGGAGGAGAGAGAGAGAGGAGAGAGATGGAGAGAGGGAGGAGAAGGAGGAGGATGGATGAGAGGAGGAGGAGAGAGAGGAGGATTGAGAGAGGGAGAGGAGAGAGAGATGAGAGAGGAGGGGAGGAGAGAGAGAGGGGAGGAGTGGAAGAGAGAAGGAGAGGAGGAGGAGGAAGAGAGAGAGGAGGGAGGAGAAGGGGAGAGGAGAGGGAGAGAGGCAGGAGAAGAGAGGGGGGAGGATGGGAGAGAAGGGAAGGGGAGGAGGAGGAGGAGAAGAGAGGGAGGAGGAGGAGAGAAAGAGAAAGAGGGAGGAGAGAGAGGAGAGGTAGGGAGAGGGAAGAAAAGGAGGAGGAGAGAGAGAGAGAGGAGGAGAGGAGGGAGGGAGGGAGGAGAGGAGAAGAGGAGCGAGGATGAGAGAGAGGGGAAGAGAGTAGGAGGAGGAGCGAAGAGAGGAAGGAGGGAGAGGAGGAGAGAGGAGAGAAAAGGAGGAGGAAGAGAGAAGAGGAGGGAGAGTGAGAGAGAGGAAGAGAAGAGAGGGAGGGAGGAATAGGAGAGAGTGGAGAGAGAGAGGAGGAGGAGAGAGAGAGGCGGAGAGAGGAGGAGGAGAAGGAGAGAGGAAGGAGAGGAGAAAGAGGAGGAGAGGAGGGAGGGGAAGAGGGAGGAGGGGAGAGAGGAGGAGAGAGAGAGGAGGAGAGAGAGAGGAGGAGAGAGAGAGGAGGAGAGAGGAGAGAGAGAGAGAGAGAGGAGAAAGAAATAAGAGAATGAGGAGAAGAGACTTAGATCGTAGAAAGAAGCCGCACGGTCACGCGTTCCGAAGTGAGTTTCTGTTGAAACGTATTTGATGACTTGAATAATTTTTCAAACAAGTAATAATCCAGGTGGTCGAGAGGAAGAGAAAGTTAATTTGTGGGTATTAATTGGATATCACCTCTGGCAAGGACATTAGAACTTTAAAAACATTCGTGCACCTAACAAAATGGATGCAGCCTGTCTGTTATAATTATACATGAGATCAGTTTGTCGTACAAGCAGTCTTGAGAAAGGGAAGAGAAATTAGGTTAAGAAAAGTCCTTTCTAAATTTCATTTAAGGCAATTATTCTGGTAGAATTGAATTAATTATAATAGAATCAGTAAATAGCCATACCATTCATTTCGGATTAACATAGCACAGATCTGAGCATAAACGTGATGAATGGTATAACCAATGTTGATGTGATGTTTTAAATTTTAATGTACAATAATTATGGTAAATACTTATCTTTTAGTACATTGGAAAATAAATCCCTATCGTATTATTGTGATTACGAATTTAATAAGATTTTTTAATTAAGATAAAATACTGAGCTAGCCAATGCAGATAGACATTAAAAAAAATTGAAAGAAGGTAGGCAAAGTAAGATTTAAATTCAAATTCTTTATTTTTAATATGCAAAAATATTCGTATGCAGAGAAAATGTTCGACTTCATATGTGTGTAAAAGGAAAAAATAGCATTTTTTTTGCTGCGAAATGGTATGCGATTCACCTTAAAAATCCGAACTGATCTTTTGTCGTCATACCTAGATTTTTTCATCTTTCTCAATATTTTATGCTAACAGACATTCTAATACCTCGAGTGCGGGTTACCAGGGAGAGCGCTGCGTGACCAGGTTGGGACTGTTACATTCAAAGTATCCGTTAAATACTTGTCGCAAAAAAATCAAAATTACTCAAAACAATATTACTCTAACATACGACAATATGTATACAATGGATTTACTTTTTACGCTCGTCATGATAAACCAAAGAAAAATGTAGTTACATTTAAAATTTTCCCAAAATCTCAAAAGATAAAACGGAAACGAATACATACATCAATTGGACCGATTCCCTCATGTACTTCAGTGAAAAAAGGATTGCAATAACTTCAACCGTTGAAAAATTATAGGCACTGCTAAAGCTACGTGTCTCACGCTGTGTAACAATGACAATATAAATTATTTATCATAAAATGCTTTTAACAAAATGGAAATAAAAAGTTTAATATTTACTGAATACTTTATGGCATTAAATTTTAAAAATAGTAATAATTTGTTATTAAAATCATTAAATTTAAAGGTGAAAAAAGGACGATTTTTCCGACAAAGTGCTTCAAATGACTTTCAATTAAGTTTTTCAAAAACTCGAATTTTTCTGTAAAAATTAACAAACAAATTTTGAATTTCCAATAACGCATGTTAAACTTAGTTAATGCTGCGATACGAGTTTATTAGTTTCAATGAATATCCGAAAATATTTTTGCTGGATACGCACCTGGATTTCCATAATATCCACTTTCACTAAAGTGATTGAGATCGTGATCATAGATCGAGATGAAGCTCGAGATCATATTTTGAAGTTCGAAGATCTGAGACAGAGTAAAGAAGTATATTACCAATGACTGTTTTGGGTTCCTTCTTCACATTCAGCCATTCTTGTTGAATTGGTGAAAGTCACATCTGTATCGAGTAACGTAAATACCTACTTAATGTCCTGAACTTGTGGACCCGGTGAGGAGGTTCAGGTATGTCACTGTAGTGCTTCTGACCGAGAAGTTCAAGGTCGACGTCCTCTCACTGGGAGGTATCTCCTAGTGAGAGATTGGTCGAAAGCTTAGAGCTTGTCCCGGCGGGGGCGGTACCCAGCTATGGGAGATAACCGAGTAGGAAAACCCCGCTATACAACGGGAGGTCGGCACTGTATCTCCACATCAATCGGGGGAAAATATGATCTATACTTACGGGAGTAATTTCCTCATCAGTTGATCGCGTTCGGAATAACTAATTAAACGTGCTGAAACTACGAGGTGGCTGTTGCCAGCAATGTAAATTGGCACGTGCCGTTCCGAGTCGAACCGAAGTATCTCACCGCGACGGACTATTCAGCGCTGGCTGAAGACTAGGGAGCTCGGGTATCAAGAAAGCTTGCGCGAGTAATGCATATTAATTATATTATATATAATATTATATAATATTGATTGTAGAAGGATGTCAATACATCAGAGGATCTATGTAAAGAAAAACTCTTGATCTTTAAAACGATGTATTTTCGGAACAAAGTTCGAAAACAATTTTGTTGTTGGCGGAAATACATCATCAAAATATCTGAGTCATACACACCTGCTTTTAACTTTAGAAATGCAGGGAACATACTTCCCAAGAACAAACCAGGAGGATGGAAACAGTCATAAATAGCGGAAAAGTCAAAATCTTAAAATATCTTAAATCACAACCGAAAAAGTACTGATTTTTATTACCTCCAGATTGTGCAATCTACTCATAAATGTACTTACTTTTAATGTAGCACTGATATCCGATTTCAGTGCGAATGTATCGGGTTTAGAATTATCTTCTGCTGCAGGTGACTGCCGATTAAGAGTTTCTTCAGCACTAACACTTAAATCCAGTTCAGGAATAGGAACTCGCCAAAACTGGAATGTATTAAAATCCTGGTATATATCAGTTTCTTTCCTTCCAGAAATTTTATCGCGTTCACTCGAACATTCATGTTGATTTTCTTGCACTGAATTATTACAATTATGAGCTGAACTTGGCAACATGTCTGTTGAAAACTTTGTTTTCGTCTTAATCTTTTTGTCGCCTTCACCACGACACAGAATATTTATAACAGATTCATTTGAATTATCAATCAGAGAAATCCTATCAGGTTGCATGCAAACATAACAATTCGAGTTCGACACAGCACTAGGACCGTCTTCATCCACAACAGGCACAGACTCTTTTAAAAAATAGCAAGGCTGATTGCACGCAGGTGAAGTTGTCTTTTCTTCCGAAATAGTTCTTGAAACATAGCCACCTTCATTTGAAGAACGCATGTTTAACCTTTAAAAAAAAAAAAAAATCATTAGAAAAATATCAATTTTATTACATTTACACGCAAATTAATTCCGTGGAATGGAATCTACTTTCTCTCAAGTAAAGATAAAAATGCTCAGCGATACAAAAACACGAATTTTGCAAATACATCTAGAAAAAAAACAACAACTAGTAAAGCCACAACAGCGCATATTTTTTCGAATTATTAATGGCGGTTGGGTAATATAATAGATAATCCTGAAAATTCCAGCTATTATGAAGTTTGAACATCTACTGGGATAACACACATTACAATGAAACAAAGTTTGATGTTTTTTTCTGATTTTATATTAAATTCACATTAAACAGAGCGACAAAAACATGGCACTAGTAACTAAGAACTAGACACAGAAAGCATTTTAAAGCAGTTTTGAAAACTTTTTAGTTTTTATAGTTTTGTATTTCCTGAACAGAAATTTTTATATTAACAGTTAATGTTACTATTTATTTGTGGCTAGAGAACAGGTAACATATCCTTGCAAATTAACCGAATAACAAACAATATAGTTCGATCTTCTGCCATTGGTCTGATAGTGATTAATAGTCAACGGTAACTTTGAAATCGAACCAAGAGGGACGATAGAAAAAAGTTCCCTAAAAACAAATGACATGAGTAGTTAGACTATAATTTTACATAAAAATATGTTTTTAAAGGTTTCTTAGCCGCCTCCCACCAGCCATATCCTTCTACAGTTAAAAACGTGTTTCCTTTAATTTTAATTTTTTCGTCGACCTAACATTACTATAACAGATTAAAAAATATGAACTGGTGGAGTTAAATCAGCACGTAATTTCTTGCCATTAGTAATAGTTATTTAATACTATTTATACCACTATTTCTCCTCGAATTATTTTTTGTAAAACTCATTTGAAATCGTAGAACATTTGGTGCGAAAAATAAGCAGAATGCAAGGAAAATATTAGAAAGTTAATAAATAATACGTTACTGATAGCTTTAGAAAACAAATAGATCGAAAAATATATCAGTAATTACTAAACACTATGGTATTTTAATATTCTACAAATATATAAAAATATTCATTTTTGCTTCCGCGAACTAAAGCAGCCGTCATTATCGTGTTTCTGTGCAGCGCAGCGTTACCACACTGGGTAACAACAGCCAACAATGACCACTTATCTCTTAGTTTTCACATTTAACACGATTTATTAAAGCATGCAATTTAAAATGAAATAACATACAATACACAGTAATAAAATGATGGAATAATACACAAATTCTAACGTAGCATCCAACTGCGTAATTTGGGAGAGGTCGACTGAACGCCAGCACACTTTAATTCATATTTATTTCAAGTAGGTTTTAAATAATTTCTAAAAGATTAATTTGTAAACGTATAACAAAAGATCCAATGTAAGAAACTAACAAAGAAATATGAAATACTATACACATTCTGACATACACAGCATTCAACTGCTACAAAACATCTTTAAGATTATGATCAAGAAACGCAGAATTTTTGGAGTGGGCGACTGACCTTGACGCCCAATTACTCCAAAAATACTCTGTTTCAATATATCCAACATGACTTTATTTGAAAATCTGTTTTTGATGAACACATTGCATTAAGACAACAAATTGTATCTTCATAATTGTAGTTGTAGGAAGACGACGAAATATTTTGATTCTTTTTTTAATTTTCGAAAAACCAGGGGTTTCAACCAACATGAAACCTGCACCACTTCCTTAAAGGCCCTTCAAACTACGCATCATCCACCAAGCGCTACTGTAAATTCTAAATTTGATCCTCTTTTCATAGAAAACTATTGACTCTTCGAAAAACTTCATAAGAAGTCATTTCAAGTACTTCCAGACACAAATGCAACAGTTTTTAGAAATCGCTGGAAATGGACATATTAAAGACGTGAGAGATATTTCAAAAACATTACGTGTGTAATTAATAAATACAAATGAATTCGTACAGCACAATTAATTCTGTCATCTTGAACAGTGAAATAAACACTATGCGTTGGAAAAGTTATTAAAAAAAAAAAAGAAAATGTGGAAATTTTTTTTCGAGTGTTTCTGAAAATGTGTAATTTTGAGCTCATTTTCACAGACAACAGTTCAGTTTCCGAGAAATTTTATCTGTCCGAACTTAAAGCACATGTGCTCATAAATATATTGATGTGAACAAATTGTCACTAATGTAAATATTAACGTCCAAAAAATTTAATTTTTGTAATTTTTGAAAAAACAAAAGAAAATAGCAATATGTGGTTTATATAATCTTATCGACCGCATTTAACACTAATATTTAGAGAAAACAATTTAGAGTCGGTTTTGAGAATATTTTGAAAATATCTGTGGGGCTTCATGTAAAGTATCCCCAAATTTTGAAGAAAGTTTTTCAAAATCGCGGCGCCTCGAGTCGAGCCAGATCGTCCGGAGAAACCATTTTGGAAAAAAATCGCACGTATGGTTAAACGCTGGTGTTGTTCACAGACGGACGTTTTGATAACAATTACTTTTTCGGTATCAGGGGACCCCAAAACGTGCATTTCCGTTCAATTTTATCCAAATCGATTTTCCGCAGGATTACATAACTTCCTCTATACGACGTATATTACTCCGTATACACGTAAGTATATGGGAAAATAAAAGCACTTAATTTACGCAATTTAATTGTTTTTTTTTAATTTCTAGGTTAATTTTTCTCAGTGAACGAATATATTTGTTTCGTTTGTAAATAAACAATTTACATGCTTATGCAAACAATTGGAATAGTAAAACATATAAACATGTTTAATACCAACTTTTGAGTGCTTATTGTGGCTCAGCCATTCGGAATATCCAGTGGCGTAGCTACCTATGAAGCTTTAAGGCAGAGCATACACACATTTAATGAAAAACAAAACCGTTATCATTACTTCATAATGTGCTTATTGAAAAAGTTACAATTCACAATTACGTTTCTCGTAGGTTTTGAGTCTTGAACTTCCCGCTTAATTGCGAACTCCGTCATAGGAGGAAGGCTCTGGCGATCACAGCCTTCAAGGCATGAGCAGTGCGTGTGCAAACGAGAAGCAGATACGTTATTTCAGTCGGCTACAGCGAGCCGAAGGCCGACCTCTCGGGAATCGAGTTCGCTCGTGGCCTTCGGCGGGCCACCGCTCCACTAGCAAGACGAAGCGCGCGCACGCGCATATAAACCAACTCAGCTTATCAGAATGACTAACTTCTTGTTGAAACCCAAGACTTTGAAAGTGGTGACAAGAAACACTGGACCACTAGAAGTGCAATCAAATGACGGTGTCGTTAATATACAATTCGAATACACACACTTTAGTGGAGTATCTTACTGATGGGGTGAAGGTTTTTGATTTGTGATGTGAATAATTTAATTTATTTATAAGCAAATTCAAAGAGGAATTTGCTGATAAATGAATTAAATGATTTGTGATTATCTTATTTATCATAAAAATATAATATATTTAAACGACGCATGTGAGTGAAATGAACGATGAATGAGAAATAAATTAATTGATAATTACACTAAATCGTATGTTTACCAATTTGGTTCTATCAGTTTTTAAAACAAATTTTCAAGGCAGTCAAACACGTATTTCTTCAATATCCGCTATAGAAGAGGCCGGTTACACGGAATAGCCCATTTATGACATTTCCCATATCACAGAGAACCTAGACACCACATCAGATTGCTATTTTTGTTTAACGAAAGTTAGAGGAATCTGAAGTAAATCAAAACACAGTTGCTTATACAAATTTGGAATATACTATGCACCCAGTTTCGCATTCTGCTTCTATGCCAGTTCCAAACCCATCAACGGAATGAACAATGGAAAGATGAAACACACGATGGTAGTGACAAACCAATAGTTCACGAAGAAGATTGAGGTCACGCCGTCTGCACCATGGCTGCAACCACAGACATCGTCGCAGGCAGAATTGAAAAATCTTGTAAGACATCTACATCTTCAAAGAGATACGCATAATTACATGGGTCTTGTGTTCAAGGAAACATTTTGCAACCAAATACAATATATTGTAATGAATTGTATTGGTATATTGTAAGGACATAGATGGCGAGCATACAAAATTTGGGATAATTCACAATCCAGAAGAATGGGCTGGAGATAAGTTCGTAGTGAGAGACCAATTCTTCAATTTTATCTTCTGGTGGATTGAGTTTTCCATTTACGAGAAGCCGGTCACCTGTTTCGGGGGGATTTCCCATTTTTTGGCAGAAGCGACCGAGATCTACATGGGCTTGAGGATCTCTCAATGCGAGTCTCGGAAGAAGTAAGAGGAGAGGTCTTCGATACAGAATTTTTGTTCAGAAGCGATATCTTCCTGGAATATATTTCCTTGAGAGGCTCAGTACACGTTATAAGTGACTGGTGGAGCTTTTGCCTATGTTTTTTAAACTTTGTTGGTATTATGACTCTTCCCACCTCGGATGTATCGTAACTTCATAAAATTCTATGAGCGACACCTGACAATTGAAGTGCGCTACTAGAGCAGGAGCACGTTGTGTTTCACAACTTGCTGTTACCCTCGAGGACTTGGAGTACTGGAGAAGGATCGTGACCGATCTACTGGATTTTTAGCCCGGTGTCGGTGTTTGACCTCAGGAAAAAAAAACCTTTTCGGTGACTCATCTTCTGAATCTCCCCTTTCCGGAGAATGGTAGGACACTGGCTGTAGTTTGTTAGATGTCTACGTTCACAATTGTCACAGTATAGTGGAGTAGACACAGTTGTGGATCTTGCATTGGTACTCCGCAATTCCCGTATACTGGACTTAACATCATTGCTAGATGTGCTCAAACCTTTCGCAAATTATACAGCGCAAGGGATTTGGTACATAGGGCCGGTTTCACCAACCAAGATCAAATTCGTAGTTGATCCGAGTTTCGTGATCCTGATCCGCGGAGTCAAGGCCGTGCGTTTTACCAACGTTTTGATACTTCGAAGTTAATCCGGAT